CCCCAAAACCCCAAAACCCCAAAACCCCAAAACCCCGTGACATGGCTTTTAAATTGGAAGCTAGGAAGTCAGTATAAATGTTAATTTTGCTTACAAAAAATAACAAAAGCACTAAAGTGGCTGCAAAAAGAAGCTGGCCACTAATGGCTGCAACTGTCATGTTCCTGCTTGGAGTTTTGCAGCTTGGAGTCCTTCCTTGTGCCATGGCCCAGACAGTCAGACTGCCCCTGAAGAAGGTCTATTTGAAAGACCACAAAGAGAGCATTGAGTCAGGGATTGAGACTATTGAGGAGAGACATGGAAGAGGTCTAGCTGAAGTTAATATAACGATGACAAACATCTATGATATGCAATATTATGCAAGTCTTCTCATCGGAGATGCTAAACTAAACCAGACCTTCCTATGGGATACAGGGTCTACACTTATGTGGATTCCTCTAAACAACTGTTCTTCGTGCCCAAGCACCAATAAATATACTCCAGCAAGTTCTTACTCAAGCACAGGCACAAGGCACACTATCAACTATGGTTCAGCACAAGTAGAAGGGGATGTTGCCAATGAAAAAGTCTACATCAGCTCTTCTTCAGTCCCTGTAACTATGGAGCTTCTCGGTGTAGATACAGCTAGTTCAGCTACCCAAAACCTCGCAGCTGATGGGATTATTGGAATGGCCCCAGCCATTACCGAAGGAAGACCTGGCACTCTCTTAGTGGAGAAACTCTATAATGCAGGAATTATCGGCAAGAATGCTTTCGCAATCGATTACAGATGGTTAAATGGCACATCATCGATTCTTCTTGGAGGCTATGATACTGATCTTATCAAAAATGACAAGGCTTTTGATTGGATTAGCTTGAACAATAATACTCATTGGATTGTTGCGATGAATACGGTCAAGTATGGAGGTACCGAACTTAGCATGTCATCTACCAGCGCAATTTTTGATTCATCAAGATCTTTCACATCGTTTCAGTATTCAGATTTCATGAAAATTTGGAATGAAATTAAAGATGGCAAAGATTGAGGATACATAACTGGGACGACTGTATTTGCTTGCTACTGTGACTCGGTTAAAGACTTTAAAGATATCACATTTAAGCTTGGAGAGCACGATATCAAGATGCCTGCCTCTGCTTACTTCGAGTACTTTGCAGGAACCACTTCCAATGGAGTTTGTTCACTCTATATAAATTTCTACACTGTAGATTTTGGTAAGCATTACCTTAGTTTTCTTTTCACTTAATTTTCCTGAGAAAAATTTAATTCTGAAATTATTCCTAATTTTAGCCAGGAAACGGGAAAATGTAGTTTTTTATACATTTTCACGCTTATGATAGGCAGAGAGTTTGAAAACCTTGGTTTATTAATTGTTTGGAAGCTAGTGAATTCCGAAAATAGATTATCGATGAAGTCTTAGAGTTCTCCCATTTCTTTGGGGCTGGACTAAACCAAAAGTAGCTCTGATATAACATTTGAAGGATACTTTGCAAATAAAGAGTCATGGATGGCAGGCTCAGCCTCTTATTCCTCTTTTTACTATGAGGTGAATTATTGGAATGTGCTAAGCTGATTTAAGAACTACCAAAGTCAATAGCCAATTTCCTGTTGAACTTTCACTAACAAGTTATATAGGTGGCCTTGTGATCCTGGGAGACTCCTTCCTGAGAGAGTACTATGTCTACCATGACGTTCAAGGCCAGAGAGTGGGGCTATACGGAAAGAACTATTCGGCCAATACATCTGCATTCTCAGTTCTTGTGTTTATTATGTTATTCATAAGTTTTCACTTTTAATGTTTGTTTACTTCTCAACCTTGTTTACTACAAAAGGGGTTTTGGGGTTTTGGGGTTTTGGGGTTTTGGGGTTTTGGGG